TCTTATTGGGAGGAGACAGTGGCATAGTAGATAAAGCACTGAACTGGGACTCCGGACACCTGAAATCGATTAGCAGCTTTGAGATCAACTGATGAAAAGTGCTGTATAAGAGCTAAGTGGTATTATCAGGCCTAATTTCATTTAAACCGCTCTGCCATGTAAATGGGAGTCAGGCCCAATGTGTCATTTTTAAAAAATTATATTTATTTTAGAAAGAAACCTCTTAGCCATTATTCATATGCTAAAGGCCAAATCCTCAGCTGGTGTAAATCAGTCTAAGTATTGAAGTCAGTAGAGAGAGAGGCTGATTTACACCAAAGGCTGGTCTGGTCCATGACTGTACAAAGAAAGAAAATCCTACAGGACCTTCCTATTCTGTAACATGCGCCTCAGTAGCTCTTGACTTTAATCAAGATTTTGAACTGTAGTGTTTGTGGGCGCCAGTGCTTAGTAGCTTATGTTCTTTGGGTTTAAGTGCGGCCGTCTCATTGTGAGATCAGTGAGAGTTTTCCTGAGAAAAAACTGCAGGATCAGGTACCTTGTGGCTAAATCCTCTTTTAAATCTTCATCCTTTGTTTGATACTTCAGGGCTTTGTTTTAATTTGTCTGCTGCCCATGCTTTGAAATCCATTATCCCTGCTGCATGATTGGTGAATTGGACTCTGTTCCCAAGTGATGTCAAACCAAGACATACATTTTTGTGTATTTTTTGTTTTAATCTAATTCTAAAACCAAATACATAACACATCAGTGACAATAGCTAATAATCAGCCAGCATGAGTTACATGCAGGTGGGAAACTGGATTAGTTAGTTGCATAAGTGGGTTGTATGAAAGCAGCACCATCTATTGGTAGCACGTGATGTTTGATAATTTTTTTTAAGTAAGAGTGCAAGAATGGCTTGTCTGGTTTTGCTTGTTAATCAAAATACATAATGCCCCGTTCATGTGTATCACAAACCAGTTAGTTTTTCTTTCTTTTTTAAGCAAGAGCAGATTAATTTGTGTTCCCATTTTCTTTTGTTCCTAGATTCTGAACTGTTACCATTTTTGTTAATTGCTAAAATCCCAAAAGAAAAACTTGACTCTGCATGTAAAAATAAGCTCAAACAACAGATACCCTCATGATAACACAGGGGTCGGCAACGTTTGGCACGCGGCTCGCCAGGGTGCTTACCCTGGCGGGCCGGGCCAGTTTTATTTACCTGCTGACACGGCAGGTTCAGCCGATCGCGGCCCCCACTGGCCGCGGTTCGCCGTCCCGGGCCAATGGGGGTGGCGGGAAGCGGCGCAGGCGAGGGATGTGCTGGCCACGGCTTCCCGCTGCCCCCATTGACCCGGGACGGCGAACCGCGGCCAGTGGGGGCCGCGATCGGCCGAACCCGCCACGTCAGCAGATAAAGAAAACTGGCTCGGCCCGCCAGGGTGCTTACCCTGGCGAGCCGCGTGCCAAACATTGCCGACCCCTGTGATAACATAATTGTCCGTAGGAGTAGATGGATGTAATTCATTATTTGTAGATGTATGTATTATTCACGTGTCCATACAGACCCCAACGGAGATCAGGTGGTCATGTGCTAGGTGCGGCACAGAGAAGTAGTAAGAGACTGTGCCTGCCCTGTTTGTAAAATAAAATAAAGTAGGATCTAATCTGTTGAAAACAGAGTCTTCAGGTAATGAATCATAGACACAAATTGGGTGAATCTCAAAGCATTCTGCAGTTTAGTTCAGTTAGGTCAACTTCCAGGTGCTTAGATTATCTGAACATCTCGAATCCACAAAACCTGTCAGGAAAGCATGTGAAAACAGGTTCTTGTCTGTGTGGGATTCTCAATTCTTCCTTCTGGGTCAGAAATTTGCATGAACTATTCTTCCTTGTCTTTGCAGAACAATGAACATAATAGAACAGGTGTTTTCCATCCCTTAACTGCGCAGTACCCACTTTTCCTAAAACTCTTCTGCTCTATTAGCAAAAAATGGGAAAGAGATGGGCTAGATGTGTTTTTTACTTCATTTGCTGGCTTTATTCAGACCTTACTGGCAATTTTGATGTTGCCAGTCAGAATCTGGAAGCCCCGAGTTCCATCTCCCCCCAAAACCCCAAACTTTTTGGAACATCGGGGGCAGGGGAGAAAGAAGTGTTGATTTGTGTTCAGTTGAAGTGCTTGAGCAAAGGTTAATATCAGCAGTCATTTTCTTTATCCAAAGACCTGCTCATCTCTATTTACATGGGCACTTCTGGATTTTATTTTTGTCATTCCTTTTAAATGAAAGAACTCTTTCAAAACCCTGTGAGCTAAAATCCCTCCTCGGACTCTTGAGAAGGTGGATTGCCATGATGTCAAAGAAGGTTTTAACTTAATGTTCCCTTGTTTTTCTAATGTGTTGGTTTGTTTCCAGTCCTTTTGGGGGCTGTTGCATATACACGTTTCACTATAGCTGTATTTTCCATACAGCCCAGTTTTACAGCTCTCCAGTGTTTCTTAACGCTAGAATCTATATTTCTGCCAGTTTGACCAATATAAACGTCATCGCAATCTGAGCATAGAACTTGTTTTAAGGAAACCTGCTGTTGCTCGTTGCCCAGTGGAATCACTTTTATGCTTATAATCAAAACACAAGCTTAAATGCCCTGGTGACTCGGGGCCTCTGTTGTAAGTGTGTCTTTGGGTTGTGCGAGATACCTATTAGACTGACCTCTGTAGTTTCAAAGCCATGGAGATCCCCCATTCACAAGAACCTGCTCATTGGCACGGTAACATTGTGCCTATATGGAATTATTGCCCTTGGTTTGTTTCCTTGTGGATCATGCATTCAGGAAAGAGGGTCTGTTTGACCCTTCCACTCCAATAACATGGATGTCTTTTCTCATTAACGCCTTGTTTCAGATCTTGATTCTTCTTTAGCAGCCTCTCCCTATCTCTAAAACATTGTGCACGGGTTGTTTTTGACGTCTGCACCTTGAAATGTGACATCATTTAATGCACTGGGTCAAAACGTGACCCGCTTATTCTGGAGGAAAGTTTATGCTGTGGACTGTGGTCTGCATTAAAAACAGGATGCTGTAACAATGCCATTACCTTGTAATAAAGATCTGTAAAATATCATGTCATGGATTCGCCAATTGTGCAGAAATATTTCTTCTCTTATTGCCTTAAAATAACCATACTATGGCTCCTGATGTACTTTCCTGGGCTGGTGGGACTAAAGAGAAAACCTTTTGCTTTTCCACATTTTTAGAGGCTTGCTTTATTTTTACTTAGAGATGTTTTTGATTATTCTCCTAATTTTGTAGTTGTTGCTGTTCCAATCTCTATCCCAATGGACATGTAGTGCTCTATCACAGTAGTTCTCAACCATGGGTACATGTACCCTAGGGGTGGGCAGAGATCTTCCAGGGGGTACATCAACTCATCTAGACATTTGCCTAGTTTTACATAAAAAGCACTAGCAAAGTCAGTACAAACTCAAATTTCATACAGACTATGACTTGTTTATACTGCTCTGTATACTATACACTGAAATATAAGTACAATATTTATATTCCAATTGATTTATTGTATAATTATATGATGAAAATGAGAAACTAAACAATTTTTCAGTAATAGTGTGCTGTGACACTTTTGTATTTTTATGTCTGATTTTGTAAGCAAGTAGTTTTTAAGAGAGGTGAAGCTTGGGTTACGCAAGACAAATCAGACTCCTGAAAGGGGTACAGTAGTCTGGAAAGGTTGAGAGCCACTGCTCCAGCATGCTGGGAACCAATCTACAAATACAGGGTGAAATTTACCCTGGTTAAAGGGCCAGTACTAGGGTTCTATTCTGAGTGGGATTTACATGATATGTAGACTTTGTGCATGGGCCCTGATGTAGCAGAACATTTATAGTGCTTAACTTTTGTTTGTTTGGTTTAGTTTTTGAAGTTTATAATATTTTGAATAAGGAAATGTAACACATCCCAATTTATATTAGTAATTATCCTGGCACATTGTACACCTAAGTTTCTGAATGACAGCTAGACACTAAACAAAAAATAAAGATCAAAAAGTATTGTCCCCATTTTACAGATGGGGAGCTGAGGTGCAGCGAGATTAAGGATGGAACTTTCAAAGGAGCCATTGAAATTCAATGAGATTTGGGTGCCTAACTCAATTGGGCACCTTTTGATAATCCCAGCCCAAGTGGCTTGCCTGAGGTCACACAAGAAAGCTGGGAATTGAGCCCAACTCTTCTAAGTTCTAGCTGATTCCCTACACCCATCCTCCGTTGGTAGGAAGACGTTAGGGTTGAAGTGAAGCATACTGGTAAGTGAATGTGTTGAAGCTTAAAAAGACTGACCTGAAGCCTAGTGAAGTCAACTAGGAGTCTTTCTATTGACTTCAGTAGGTTTTGGATGAGGTCTAAACTGCAGCTGTCCATGCCAGACCTCTCTCCTGGACAGAGAAAGAACGTTTGTTCTCTAGGGATGTCAAGCTAGCCATTTGCACACATGCTAAATAAACACTCATTAAAAATACACTTGGCTGTCAAATTCCTGGATGTTCTTTTGCAGTCTTCAGTGTATCCTTTTAAGCAGTCCTGTTTCCTGTGATATCGTTTGCTTTCTGACCTCAGAAGGGTGCAGTGTGGATGTACTCATTGATATGTGGTAGGCACTCAAATATTCTAATGATGTATAAGTACCTAGCTAGTTTCCAAGTTCAGTCAATCCTTGGCCTCTCTCCTGAGGTTGCCAACAAAACTGCTAGTTGCTGTTGAAGTTTCACTTGGCCAGTGAGAACTGAATAGTAAAGTGTGTTCTTCAAAATTGAACGCTGTATGGGAACTGTGTGGGGATTGTATATTCAAATGTAATGGTCTGCTCCTGCTCCCATTAAAGTCAATGGGGAATTTTCCATCGGAATAAGTGAAGATAATACAAAGCAACAGGTAACACTGGCCCTTTGGTCTTTCGGGGTGTTAGAATTTTCTGTGTTCTCATGTGAATATTTCTTCTTTCAGGGAGCCCAGGAAGCAAAGAGCCACATGTTTTTAATCTGACCTCCCTAACCAAGTCTGAAAATATCTTGTCGGCGTCATTGCATTATTACATTGGGGACCTACTAAATGCTACCTGGAGTTGTCCCCGATCCGGAGGCTGCTCTCGTCATGGACACAGGAAACCTGAAATTCAAATAGATCTCTCGGTGTTGAGCTTTCCTTCTGATGGGAACCAAACTCGAACCCTGGGACGTTTTCTAATAAATGTTTCCATGGCTTATCGGGATGTCCTTTCCTGGCAGTGGAAGGACATTACTCATGTCCTGAGTGAGGCAAAGCAGAATGATGAACTTCTGATTGGTGTGAAAATGGCCTTGACTGGCCGCTATTCCTGGAGGAGGATTCCGTCCTGCTATGAACCTTACATCCTGGTGTACGCCAATGACTCTGCTATTTCAGAACCAGAGAGTGTTGTTTCTAGCTTGCAAGGACACCGTAATTCCCTGGTTGAGGGTTTCCCCAGACCGGAAGGCCACTCAAAGAGCAGCCTTGGTGAACAGCGACGGAAACGTTCCACCACCATCCTGTTGCCCTTGCAGAACAACGAGCTCCCAGGTGCCGAGTACCAGTACAATGAGGATGAGGGGTGGGAAGACAGGAAACCCTACAAAACCCTCCAGCCGCGGCTGGCAGAGAGGACAAAGGGTAAGAAAAAGCAGAGAAAGAACAACCACCAGAAGAGCCAAACGCTCCAGTTTGATGAGCAAACCTTGAAGAAGGCAAGAAGGAAGCAATGGAACGAACCAAGATACTGTGCGCGGCGCTATCTCAAAGTGGATTTTGCAGACATTGGCTGGAGCGAATGGATTATTTCCCCTAAATCCTTTGATGCATATTACTGCTCAGGCGAATGTCAATTCCCCATTCCAAAGGTACAGTATTTTTTTTCCCCACTGTCTTATTCTCCTATCTCCAGAGAGTAGGAAAACACATCTAGGTTTTATGAACTGCACAGATTTGTTTACAATGGTAAAATCCAGCTTGGCTCCTATTAAGCTCTAGAATGTAGTAATTAAGTAATATTTTATGTCTGTTCTTTAAGGGGTAGTTGTTAAAATTGCTAATGTGAAGTTAGAATTGCTTTATGCAAAGATATAAAATCAAAGTTATATAGCAGAATTATTTTTGTCCAGAATCCAAATATGCTGTAAATTGCTTATTGGGTAATAATAATGTGTGAACTGGTGACCGTCCAGTTTAATCAAGCATAATAAAGGACTGATCCTACAAATGCTTATGACCAAGTATAGTAATTACCATACTGAGTTAGTCCCAATAGAAACCAATGAATGGGACCACTCGGAGTAGTAAGCGCTATGTTTGGTAGTAAATATTTTCAGGGTGGGGCTCTAAAGCTGCTCTGAAAGGGGGAGGAGGGTGTAGAGTCCTAGAAGTGGATGGGACTCTGAGTATAAGCCAAGGAGCTAATCAAATCAAAATCATAAGTCATTTGCTAAAGAACTGTATCCTCTGAGATACATACATAAGCACAAGTGACTTGATCCTGGAACCCTTACTTTAGAGTTGCCCCTATGGCTTTGAGACTATGGCTATGAATAATGATTACTCTGGTGAGTAAGGGTTCCATGATCTGGCCCTGTTGCATGAGCTTGGCTTCTTGAAATCAGTAGGCCAAATTTATTTCTAGTGTAGCTCCATTGGAGGTCATACCCACATCTCCCAGCCTACCAAGGCCACAAAGTGGGATGCAATATGTAACAAAGACCCAAAATGGGGAGAGGGGGACACACACAAATTATTCCTGGTATCTGGAAACCACAGTAGATGTAGGGTTCATTGTTCTTGCCTTAGCCTTATCTTCACCATTTTCTCTTTTTCATGTAACTAATTGTCAGCACTGAAAGCAAAATGATTTCAAATCGGTGCGGAATTTTGGGATTAATCGGAATGATGTCTTTTTTTCAATGACAGACAGAGGAGATGTATGGTAACATCCGAGATAATTTAGTCCAGTATGGGCCTGATCAGGAAGCCTTTACTTATGTGAGCAGTTCTGTTGATTTCAGGGAGACTGCTCACTTGAATTAAGATTGCAGGATCAGACTCTAAAACTTGGAGGGCTGGCTTCAGTTTTGTGCCTTTGCTGAGAGTTCAAAAGGAAAACAAGGAGATTTGCAGTGTTCTTGGAGCCATGTTATTAGAAAGAACTGGTGGATGAGGTAACCTCTTTAATTGAACCAACTTCTGTTGGTGAAATAGACAGGCTTTCGAGCGCCACAGTGACCTAAAGAAGAGCCCCGTGGAGCTCGAACGCTTGTCTCTTTCACCAACAGAAGTTGGTCCAATAAAAGATATTAACAAGATTGTTTTTGTTTTTCAGTGGTAGTAAAACATTCTACTGGGTCTTTTTGGCTTCTCCCTCTGTGATTGATAGCATCCATGCTCTATCATACCTATATCCCCACGTATGGGTTTGAAACAGACCCTTAACTTTAGCAGCAATTTGACCTAGACTTTTTCCATGTTAACTTTAAGGACGTTAAGTTATAGCAATGCCCTGGGCATTGCTCTGGTTAAGGCTGTGTCAGCACTTCCAATTTCAACCTTGTTTATAAGGATTTTAAACGCAACTGTAAAAAATTTGCTCTGGGGATTGACATTGGCCCAAGAGCAAATAAGTCATATATGTAGCAATATTTGAAATAGATCAGTGTGGCTATTTTAATTTACAGGAATGCAAAAACAAAAATAATTTTTAAACTAATTCTCTCAGCTGCTCCTTCTACCTGAAAGCACTTTACATTTTAAACGAATTTGGGCATGTTGTGAGCCGTGTAATATGGGCAAATAGATGGATATTTTGAAAGAAGTAAAACAAACAAGGAAAACAATTTTAAGCTGCCAGTTATTCTGTGTGAGACTGCTCCAAACCCCACTGGAAATCTGCTACTGACTTCTATGTGATTTGGATCATGTCTTACAACGACGACACTATTTTTCTATCTGTGGACAATAGTTTTTTCCCTATAAACACTACATTTCAGTGTGCTGGTGTAGAAGCTGCATCTGCATAGCTAAGTGGACCAGTTCCTTAGACATTGTTTAGCGTCTCTAGATTAAAAAATAGTATTTTCTTATAGCGCTGTTCTGCAGGGCTTCAGATCCTCAAATGTATTTAGGCACCTAACTCCCGTTAATTTCAATGAGAGCTAGGTGCCTAAATACTTTTGAAGATCTGGGCCTTCAACTCCCAGTGAAGAGTAGCTACACTCCACCAAGAGCTGAACAGTTCACGTCCAGTAAGTAACATGTAACATGCCATTTCAAAATTGGCACCCATTCACCTGATGGCACCGTGATGGCTTGGTAAGAGGGCACCTGTGTTGTGTAGCAGGTAAATGGCATGTATTCAAAATAGGCCTGATCGAAAGCCCATTGAAGTTAATGGGAGTCTTTTCATTGACTTCAGTGAGCTTTGGGTCAAACTTCACGTGCATAAGAACATGCACCTTCAACAACAAATGAGCTTTTGCAAAAATACGCTGAAGTACACCATAGGTGCGCAGTGAGGTTGTCAGAAGCACTCCTTGCCAGCTCTGCTCACACTGAAGTCAAGGGTTTGGCCAGTGCTGAGAGCTTCTGCAAATTTCACCCATAGTTGCTGCTAAATGCCTATTAACATAACAAAGAAAGCAAGTTTCATATAAGGATTTATGTTCTATTTCTTTTTTAAAATATGGAGATCCCAAGACAAAAGAAAAGTCCCTTTTTCCCCACAAACTGCCAAACCCCAGAAAATAGAAAGAGTAATAAGAACATGCACTTTTTGTACGTAGCACTTTCTTTGTGTAGCATCCTGAAGGGCCCTAAAACACTTCACAAACAGAGGGCCTGATTCCCATGGCCTTGCATCTCTGGTGGTTAAAAGCAAATGCGAACCTCCCATTCTGATGTGATCATTTTACTATCAGAACTAGTTTGTATTCACTGCACGAGTGTAAATCACTACAGGAGGTGCAAAACCTAGAATAAGGGATTGCTCACCATCAAACAGGGTCTAAGGTGGCGTCTGTTCTGCACTAGGCATGCTGCTCAGCAGTCTGGAGAAAGGGAAGTGAAGATTAATTGGTTCTAACAAAGCTGCTATTTGACGTGTAGAGAAGCTAAAGGGAGACAGTGTACTTACCCAGACGTCGGAGAAGACTTCCCATCTTTTGCCAATTTACTTGAGAAACCGTAGTGGTTTCTTAACAGTCTTCTTTAAACATTTAGAGTCAAACTCATGCTCAGTGAAAGCAGGTGCGAGTCCATGGAGGTTGAGCTCAGTTGCATCAGGTCTTAATTTGGTTCTGAGAACTAAATGCACTTCACAGTAACAGTTGCTATTTATTGTACGTATTACTTTGTGCCCAGTAGTCCCAACTGAGGTTGGGGCCCCATTGTGATAGGCCCTGTACAAACAAGTAAGAAAGAGTCCTTGCCTTGGAAAACCTTAAAGTCTTCATAGATGAGATGGACAAAAAAGGACTACTGACCCCATTTTACAAGCGGGTACATGAGGCACAAAGAGATTAAATGACTCGTCCAGCATCACACAGGACATCTGTGACAATCATGAACTAAATCCAGATCTCCTGAGTCCAAGGTCAGTGCCTTAACCACAAACCCATTCTTCATCTCTAAACATATTTTAAAAGGCTTGGTACAAATGTAGGGCTTGAGCCTGCATTTCTTAAGCATGCAAAACTCCCACTTTTGGGGTACATAAGGAATGTCGGATTGGCTCCTTAACGTAAACTTAAACGTGACCTTTGAATAACTCTTTCCTGTGTTCAAATGGAGTGTATCTAGTTTATTATGGAAGTAGGTGACAATGTCATGTCTAACGTTCCATGAACGTCAACAGCAAATTCCCATTGATTTTGGGATCCAAACTGTGCCTGTTGTGCACATGTGCAGTGTGAAATACAATTTGCACCATGTGAACCAAAATCCACGTTGGTTTTTTAGTGCGAATGAAGATTCAACACATGACAAGGAGAAACAGGCAGGTTGAGATCCATGTAGTATTCTTGATCCATGCGCACGACTCCCATTGACATTCATGAGAGCTGTGCATTTGCAAACTGATACTGTAGCTGTCAGGTAATACCAAAAATTCATCTGTGCTTATGGATATACAGCGGCCCTTCAGTGAAGGAGAACTGAGCTCCATCTAGCCTGGTTGACGACCCTGTTGCGTAATTAACAAAAGATGTGCCTCTTCCCCTCCCACCCCCACCCCCAATTCCCAGCCTTACCCTCTCCCTGTTTCGGTGAAATGGTTAGAGTGCTGTCAAACCCACATGTGCTGAACTTGCAGAATACCATAGAGCATACAGGCCAGACAGTCCCTCTCCCAGGTCAGGAATGAAAGCTTGTCGCTGACATCATTCTCTCCACTCCTAATGCATCTATAATGAAATTCAACTGGGCAGCAAGTCTCTCAAGGATGCGTGCAGCTTAGCAGGTGCAGTCCTAACCACAGCTGGACTCGTTCACAGATCTGGCCACTTGGAGGTTACTGGGTTTTTCCCTTACGCCACTCCCACTCTAATAGAAAATCTCATGTGAGATCCAGCCTGCTTTTCATTAGTAGGAACCAGACAGAGCAGGCTGCCTTCAGGCAAAGATGATGTAACACTCTCTATGCAGGGTATATGCCAGTTTAACCCTTTCCATTGGGAATTTTTAAATGCTCAGCTTTGGCCTGACTCTGCTGCCGGTGAAGTTGGCCATTGACTTCAATGAGAGCAAAGTTAGCCCAAGCCTGAGCGCCTTGAAAATCCCACTTTTAAGATTAAGGGGCTGTGTATTTTGTGGGCTAGAGGGTAACACACAAGACATTTCAGATATTTAAGGAAATAGGTGTAATCCGCCCAGTACCAAATAATGTTGACACTTACTTTGCCAGATGATCCACCACACCCAAAGCTCCTTCTGATCCCATGGGAGGCCTTTACTCCGAGCACCTTTGGAATCAATCCTGTAAACAGACGTGTACTTTAATCTGTTTAATTCAGAGCGTTACTGAGATGCAATTGTATATTTCAGTGTTCCATCCAAAGTGAGTAGTCCAGGGTTTGAGTTTAAAACCCCACCCAAACGGAGTCAGATCTACTGATTAGCTGAACCAAAACCTCAGCTATTAAGGACAGGCATTATACCATAAACCAGTGAATCCCTGCTCTCCTCTTTTGTATGACATAATTATGGTTGATAGTTTCAAACTTGACCAAAGGAAACCATAAGAGGGGAGAAATGCAAAGTCTTTAGGAAACTAAAAAAAACACACCAAATAGCAACTTTGTTAAAACTGGTTAATCTTCCCATCCCCTCCTCCAGACAGTTGAGAAGCATTCCTAGTGCAGAACGGCCGCCACCTTAGACCCCATTTCAGTGATGGTGAGCAATCTGTGATCCTCTAATGCCTCGCACCTCATGTAGTGAGTTTGGGGTAGCACAGGTTCCCTGTCTGAAGAGCCATTCAGGGCTCCCAATAAGAAGCTGAGCAAAACTATGAAAATCCATTTTCAATTCCTATCAATCCAATAGACACCGTGGATATTTTATCAATAATAGGATTCTTATTGATTTTTTTGTGAGAACTATAGGGACCCTAGGACATTGAGGGCCATAAGCTCCCCTTGATTTTTGTGCAGAATGCTCATTGAGAACTGTGTGTCTGGAACAACCTAATCTATCACCTGCTTTCTGACTTCACAATGTATACAAAAATCTTAAGTTGTGGGAGCACTGAAATTTTTAAATGCTCTATAAAATGTTGCAGAGGAAATCACAGTCTCTCTTTAAAAAGCTGTCTCGCTGCAGGATCTCCGCGTCTGGATAACTGTACTTTTGAGCAGTCCCTTTTCAACCATATTTGGCTTATGGCTGTAAAGAGGGCTCTCCTTAGAATTCATGGCTTTTAAGGCACTCCATCATGCCTTATTGCACTGGGGACATGGAGCTCTGTGGTCGTTTTGTTCTATTTAAAATCATAATAATGTAAAGCTTATTGAAGCTTCCTGCAAGAAATTAAAAAGAGAATTTTACCGAACTCTTTGTGTTTAAAAAAAAGAAACGGGGGAGGGGGGGGTCTTGCTGCAGGTAGATACAGAGAGCTTCTTGCAAGGCTCTGAGGCCCAGATCCATAAAGCTATTTATGCGCTTAACTCCCATTGATTTCAGTGGAAGTTAGGTGCCTAAATATGTTTGAAGTTATGAGCCTGACTGTCCTCAAATTTAACTACCTTAAAATGGAGTTAAGGGAACTCAGGATGGGTCCCATGCATTGCTCAGTCTCTCAGAGTGCAGGAATAAATTCTCTCATCTGGAGAAGAAGAAAACAAGTTTGGATGATGTTAACCCTAACAAAAAAACAACAGTGGAATGTTCCCAAATGGATCCTTTTGAATCTTGCATCAAAGGGTTCCTATCCTCACTGAGAATAGTTCTAGCAACATGATATGAAAAATGTCCATTCTGACTCATTGTGGTTGGAATTTAAGGATCGCGTATCTCTGAGATAAAGCAGAAGAATACCGTTGGCATTTGTTTGCTTAAATGGAGGCAGGTTGGAGATCCCTGCACATCACCAACATAACTACAAGTAGATATTCCTAATTATATTATGTATATGACATAATGAGCCAGAATCTCCAAATTGTTCCAGTGCTTTTTCCATGGAAAGTCATTTGGGCCTGCAAATCAGGTAGTTAGATGTCTAACCCCTGTGACTGATTTTTGCAGATACAAATTCTATCTTTTGTGTCAGGAAAATTGCAGGCTCTCTGAATATTTGGCCCACTGAACCTTGCCTGACATTTGAGTAGATGCATTTTTAACTCTGTGACTGCCAGGTTTTAGGTCTGAGATGAGTTCTAAAATGAAGTTCTGAATATCTTTCTTAAAGGACAGTATCAACAAAAAAAATCATATTCTTGTTGGTTTTTGTTGGATTACTGTGTTTTCCTGTGTTACTAGTACTGCTACTTAGGTTACTGAAAATGAAAGTATATTTAAAATCTTGTTCTAAATTTGTTTACTCATATTGGACAATGAAGTTAGCTCAGTCAATTTTGTTTTCTAGTTATAATCAGTGGGCCAAATTCTGCTCAGTTATAGAAATGTAATTCCAGGTACCTTCAGGTTTACACCAGTGACTGAGAGCAGAATTTTGCCTTAGTGTTCATAGGTTTACTACTGATGGAATTTGTTGGGTCTAGTTGTGCAATGATGTAAAATGATGGTGTAAGTTACAATCAGAGGTACGTTTACACCCAGTTACGCTGCTTTTCTGACTAAACTACATCCGGCATATAATTTACACCACCATTTCCATCAGTACACAGTGTCCTGGTCTATATGTTTCTGATGCAGCCGTTGCCCCTAGATGGGGTGTGTCTCTTGAAAAGGCAAGAAGTTAAGGGCCACTTTCTTCAGAGTAAGAAAACTCTAGCTGAATTGTAGAGCAACAGTGACACCCAGTGGCCAGTAAAATTAATCCAAGAATGGTATTCCCTGAAGCTATCCCGAGGGATATACCGTGACAATTGAGAACAGTCTTTAAAAGAGGTACTCAGAATTGCTGCCGCTAGCTAGCCTTTTTGACTCGTCGCTGTCTTTCTTCAGGGAATTGGCTATATTTTGTCCCAAACAATGAAGCGCAGTGTTACCATGTAAACAATACAGTTCCATTTTAACGTGAACCTTCACATTTCCTTCTCTTCTTGTTCTTTCTTCTGCAGGTCTTGAAGCCATCGAACCATGCCACCATCCAGAGCATAGTGAGAGCAGTTGGGGTCATCCCTGGTATTCCTGAGCCTTGCTGCGTCCCTGACAAAATGTCTTCTCTCAGCATCCTATTCTTTGATGAAAATAAGAACGTGGTGCTTAAGGTCTACCCCAACATGACAGTGGAGTCCTGTGCATGCAGATAACATCCCAGATGAGCCCTTTGAAATGTCTAAATTGAGCTGTTGCTTTTTCTTTTCTCCCCCGCCAATGCATTTCATTCCAAAAATAGATTTATAAACAAACCTGAATAAGAGAGAAGATACTGAATGGAGATATCAAGGCAGGGGAACTTAAACTTAACTCACCCTTGAATCTGACTGAGAAGTAAGCTTTAGCAACTGGCGCTAACTATTTCTGTTGTAATGTACAAATGAAAAGTGAAATTTACAAAGGACTGTTCGAGATTTTTTTGGAACTGGCAGGAGGACAACGTTGATTTATTTTTGTACAAGGCTTTGAAAGTGGCAGCCGCTGTTTGATTTTTTGGTGTCCGTTCTTCTAATGACTAATGGGGAGGGAGATTAAGAAATACATTATACATTTGAAGCTAGGCCTTGGGTTACTGAACAGCTCAGCAAGTGCTAAATAACCTGAACAAATCTAACTTATCCTAAGAGCCTTAAAAAATCCAACGTAAACATTTATTTCCTTGATCTGACATCATTGATTTCACGTGTATATTCATTATTGTATAGCATGTTCTTTAGAATTCAGCCCATGTGACATTCCTCCCCTCAGATTAGATAATATAAATCCCAGTTATGCTACATGAGAAGTTGTGATGTCACACAGAGAAACAATTGACCCAAAAGCCTAGCACAGTGATTTTCAACCTATGGTCCACAGACCCCTGGGAGGCTGCAGATTATGTCTAAGAATGCTAAAGGGATTCATACCTCCATTTGAAATTTTTTAGGGGTCTGCAAATGAAAAAAGGTTAAAAAATCACCGGCCTAGCAAAATGCAAGTATCATACTCAACAACACAGCTGGCTGAATAATGAACAAATATTTTATCTCATGTGTGCAGATAGTCCTTAAGCAACTCATAAATGTCTAAAATTGTTACATGAAATTTGCTGAATAATTCTTTATCTGTAGCTTATTTGCATGAACTTCATTGATTATTTGATGATCAACATTTAGTCTGTTAGCTAGTTTTGATTGGTTACAGAGGTCAGGTGGTATTGTTTCCATTCCCTTATTGGATACATGTTGCTTTTAGAATCAAATTGCCAGTTCAAACTTTGCTCCGTGAGAGTTTTCTCTAATAAATACATAAAATGTGGTGTTTCCATGAACATTCCTGCCTGTAAATACATTTGCTAGACCAGCTGAAGAAAGTGACTCCTACGGCCCATAAACACAGTTGGAGAGATTTCACTTTTTATTGAAGGGAATATATTCATGGAAACATTTGAGGTCTTTGCCCAACTCCTCATTTTCAACAACGTGAAACCTAGAAACACTGCTGCTTTTGAAAGAGACTGGTGCCGATCAACACTGGAAAGAACAATAATTTAGTTTATTTCATTTGTTAAAATGTAATTCTGGTCCCAACCTTCCTTTTTTTTTTTTTAAACCCACCTCAGTAACTAACTTTGTGAAACTGCATCACTGGTCATAAAATATTCACATTTCCTAACCAGGGGACAAATTCTCATGACCAAATCCCTCCACAGCTCTCATGGCACCTGATGTGTCAAGTTTCCCACTGTGCTGAAGTCCTCAACAAGCAGCTTCAGTGAGTAGACACCTACCTTAAGCTTCAGTGGGTGCTCAAGGTTAGTTTGAAAACGACCAATGATAATTTACTATTGAGTCATCAGTGCCATCATGTTTGCCAACTTGATGTGTGTCTGCAGGTGTGGGGAAACAGACAAAGTTCCAGTCAAAAATCGGTGGGAGTTTTGCTTAAGAAAAAATTGTAGATTCAGTCCTTAATTTCCTATGGGCCCAAAGCTCATTCATTATTGGTATGAATTGGGGCCAGATCCTCAGCTGGTGTAAGCTCAGTTAAACTCAGTGGAGCTGTGTCAGTTATGATGGTTTATACAAGTTGAGGATCTAGTCCCTAAAGTCATAAAAGTTCAAGTGTTCTGAATCTTGCCCTACAGGGGGAGTTCCAACGAACTGTAAAAGACAGATCAGTAGAAATGTTAGCCTCTAAGACGCGATCCAGGCATGTGCAACCCCTGTGTTCATAAGCCAAGCATGCGCAAATTCCTTAATATTTGATGCACTTCCATGTGTGGCAGAAGAGTTAGCACTGAAATGTGGTGAGTTGTGTCTGAACAATTCAGTGGGGGGTGGGGGGGAGAACCACACGTTTTTCTGATGCAAAGGGAAGAAAGATGCAGACAGAAAGATCCTTCCTTCACACAGCAGATTCCTGAATTGTTGCTAGTGGAAGAAAATGTGTCTGTCTGCGTGTGAGAGAGATCCTGTGTACAGCGTAAATGGAAAGATTTAAAAAGACAGTTCAAGGCACCCAAGTGCCCATATTCTGTGGGGATTACCTTGAATGTTAACTATTGGCCCAATCCTGCACTCATTGAAGCTACTGGGAGTTTGCCATTGAGTGCCCCGCACCCAGGACTGGCTCCCGCTAGCACACATCAGCCCTTGCAGAAGTGAAAAGTAGATGGTTTTTAAATAAACTCCCTCCCTACTAGCTGCAAAGAAAAAATCCATTTTTTAATCCAAAAAAAGGTAAATCAATGGCTGCTATAACAATAAACCCTGACCAGCTCTAGTCACTAATCATTAGCGAGACTGTCAAAAAGAAAATTGCGTAGAGCATTAGTGGGTAACTGAGTCAGTAGTTCTGATGTTTTTTCCTTTAGGTTTAGGTGCCAGCTGAAGACAAATAGTTTCTTTCCCATCTCTTCCCATGTAATATTGTTGATGATCATTAGGGACTAAGTTCTTTATTGTGATATGCACCCCCACTTCCCATTGAAGTTCACCTGTACACGAGGATGGAACTTGTCCTAAATTTGTCTTTGTAAGTATTGCAATGTTTTTCCTTTTACAGGGCAGACAATTTGTGCCATGCACTACAGTAGGGATGATTTATTTACCAACAGCCTTCCAGAAAGCCTGCAATTCTAAGAGTTCTATATTAGGGAATTGGTATGCAACTGTCTCAGCCAACGTATGTATCAACTTTTATTACAAAAAAAGCATTTATTCTTGTTATTCAGGAATGGGGACTATTTTATGCTATTGACTTCATTAACCTGGAATGGAGAAAAATATTATTCTACAGCCAGCCAGAATTTTTTCACAGCAGTTTGGGTGGGGAGGGAACGTTAGAGAATTCTTATCCGAGGTTTTATATGTGCTGTGTGTGGCTGAGAGAGAGTGAACAACAGATTCATGAGCCTAAATCCTGCCACAATGTAAAAGGCATCTCAGCCAGTTAGGCAGGCATAATATAAGTAGGCCAAGACACCCAGACTTCTAGTAATGATGCAAAAGAAGAATATAGTAGGGTGTAAGCCTGGAGCCTAAGAAAGGAAAGGGTCATTGCGTCTGACCAAAAGGATGAGTTTAACCGGGAGGAGTATGCCTCAATGAACAGTGACATTTTAACCTGAGTTAAGAACACACCTTCTCTCTGCAATGAAGACATGCCCTCAGTTACACCTGTCCAAGCCAGAGCATCCCCATTAACATCAGTTACTTTGAATTGGCAGAGACATGTATCTGAGCGCACAATCTGGCTGTCACTCATCTGTTTCACAGGCTCTCTCTGAACTTACAACTTTTATGTGAGTTTCAGGATTTTGGCCCCATGTTCCATCAGGTCTGTACCTGCAAAAGCAGCAATAAAGAATTCCAAATCACCACAGAAGTGTATCAAAGAAACAACGGGGCTACAGTAATATATAACTGTTCAGCATACAAACATGAGAGTTGACCTTTACCAGCTCCTAGAAGGAAGTCAGACACGATTCTCTGCCATAGATTTTTCATATTCAGTAGTACAGCCCGAAGCTGGGCTTTGAACATGGTTGTTAAGCAATCCAGGCCCTGTTTCTTGCTGTTTCCATTCCTGTCAAATCCTTATTAGGAAAGGCCTTCAATTTTCGAAGGGTACATGAGTTCACAATCTGCTTTTCAAAATGCCATTGCACTCAATGGTCCTATTGGCTTCTTAAAACCATCCTGATTGAGTCTGTACAGCACTGTTGAATGGTAGGATTTCATGTATTATCTTTTGATACCTCTTCTGTGGTGCTCGTAGTGATTAAGGATAAAGAAAGTCCTGTCCTGCCATTCTTATTTATGTGACTCGTTCCATTGATTTTAACAGAAGTCCCATGGAACGCTTCTTCCTGTACAAGACTAGTATTGGCCATGCAACCAGTTTCCCAGCTGACAGTTGCAGGAAAATCCCAGACAGCAGTGGTTCACACCAGACCTCTGTCACCCTAGTAACACATTAAATTTTTAAAGCTAGTATTCATTCTGGCATCCCAGTCTCAACCAGTATCTGAGGTCCAAATTCTGTTGTCAGTTGCTTGGTGTAACGGAATGCAGAATCCAGACCTAATTAATTATAAGGTCTCAAACTGTGTCCCATGGTGGTTGTTTTTGTAAGCATTGTGACTTTTAAAACAGGGGTCACATCCACCATCAACTGAAAGTGGTTACCGCATCAGTAGCTTAAGTTAGTCTAATGTTTGCAACTCTAGTTTGCCTGATTTTGACCTGATGATCAGTTTCATGGTTTAACACCATTGACTTCAAAGATGTTAACTACATCACTGCCAATCGGGTTTAAGTTCAAACTATCATTAAGGAAGAAAAATAACCATCTCAAACTCTTTCATCAGAGCCACTCCTTTGCTCTCACCTATGTTGACATGCACACTCTGCAATCACCCCAGGAAACCCCTCTCTCGTTAACCATGTATAAGTGATGTGTTTTGCGTACAAAACTTTTTCATTCATGCCTCTCAGTGAAGGTTTCTGCATAAAGCAATGTCTCCTTAGCCATTTATTAATCATGGGCAATTTCTGTATATAGCTATGCATCAATACAGACCTTACAATGATTTTCCAAGTAATATCAGTCCCCTATTTTATTCATGCTTAGTTCAGTTTGGGGTAACCACCCTGCCCATATTCTGGTAATTCTGTTCATTGGTAAATGGCTCTGCCTCTCAGCTAACAAATGACATCTCCTGCTAGTGCATTGTTGTTGCAGCTGGCTCAGAACACAAACAAGAGAACAACTTGAGCGACAGCCATATACCTCTTTAGCTGGGTTTGCAAAAGCACTCAGTATTGGCCTCACTCTGCTCCCCTAAAGTCAGCAGTAAAGCTCCCCTGTGGGAGCAGAGTGAGGTCAGTGCTGAAGGCTTCTGAACCACCCTCCACCTTCAAGCCTAAATAAGGAAGCTTATTAGCGTATTACACAGCGTGCAGCATATGAGGCCTAGCCTGCAAATCCAGGCGAGTATCTTTACTCACACAGGAGTAGAGCCAACGAGACCACTCCTCTGTGTGAAGATTTGCAGGAGTGGGTGTCTTTGGAGGCCTGACCTTGTAAGTTACTGAGCATCTGCCAAGAGGTGCTAAGTGCCTCCAAGGCCCCAGTCCCTGTACCAAGGGCCCACCTCCTTAAGTTCCCATCACTTGGGAGATGCTCAGCAGTTTGCAGGGTCATTTTAAAGTATTGACCCCTCTTCTTCTCCTTGCAAACAAACCAAACCTTTGTTAAGGTTTTTAGTTTAGAAGTTAGTGTGTACAGACAGTGGCAGTAAGTAAAAAAATAGTTACCAAAAAAAAGTTATTTGTATATGGAAAACTTTTACAGATGCTTTTAATTTATTTTATGCTGTTGCCTTCTTGTCCTTAATTCCCATCTTTTGATGCTGTTAAGACAAATCAATTTGCACAACAGTTGCAAGATGAAATGATAGATCCTTGACAAGATCACAAGGGCACGTTGCAGTGACACTGTGAAGGACACGTTTCACTACTGATGTATAAGCTTGCCCGCTATGTATCGTTTCCCTTCAATAATGGGAATCTCACTACAAACTATGAAAAAAATAAATAAAATCACTTTGAAATTTCATTTCCTCCTTGTGTACTCGAGTCTTCCAAGGATTATTTACTCTGCAGTGCTTTATATATGCAGCACTTGGGAACGCAGCCAACAATTCAGCTAGACATTGCATTCATTAAATGAAGTAAATCATGGCTTGGGAGTGGCCCTTGAATGTTCAGTTAATGGTTAGCTGCTATGACAATAATCACCTTTGTAGGGCATAGGATCTGATCCACAGCCCAGTGAAGGCAAGGGGATTGCTTCCATTTCAATGGGATTTGCATCTGGCCTATAACTAGTATGCTGGTATACAGCAATGCACCTGAATGTGATGCAATCCCCAGTAAGTCATGAAAGGCAGACCAGTTGAGAATCTCTGGGTAAAGGTAAAAGGGGAGAAAAGAGGGATCTACTCTAGACCTGTGGCTCTGAACCTTTCCAGACTACTGTACCCCTTGCAGGAATCTGATTTGTCTTATGTACCCCACATTTCACCTCACTTAAAACCTACAAAAATCAGACAAAATACAGAAGTGTCATGGCACACTTACTAAAAAATTGCTCACTTCCTCATTTTTACCATCTAATTAGAAAATTAAACAATTGGAATATAAATATTTACTTGCATTTCAGTGTATAGTTTATGCTGCTCTAGATACAAGTCATCATATGAAATTTTAGTTTGTACTGACTTCGCGGGTGCTTTTTATGGAGCCTGTTTAAAATAACTGGAAATATCTATAGGAATTGATACCCCCTTGTTGAGAACCACTGCTATAGACCATCAAGTCAGGAAGAGGAGGTAGTTGAAGCATTTCTTAAACAAACATATCCCAAACAAGACGTGGTAGTTGTCATCAACAATGTGGTGCTCTGCTCTATCCAATGTTGATAAGTCAGCTGCATGCGTGTGCTGTCCTCTGCTCTGCGTAGATAGCTGGCACAGCAGACTCCAATAAGGTATGAAGGCATCCGGCCAGGTTTATTGCCAAATGAGAGTCTCTAGCTCCCCGCATCAGGTGTCTACAGTTCTGCTAATACATATGTGCTCCCTGACAATGGACCGGCTCAGTCATAGGGGTTTACCACTGCCCCCTAGGCCAGATAGACAACCCCTCAGGAGTGCATTCTTATACACAGGTACAAACAAGTTACACCTCATTCCTGAGGTATTGAAGTACAACCCCTCTATGTAGTAAGGTGCCGCCTATCAGCTTGTACATGTTGGTTCGATCAAAACAACCCCCATCCATCATATTACCCTTTTGCCCTGGTCTTTAGGATGGATCAGCATATTCTTGCTCATCTGTGTGGAATGTGCTAGTATCGGAGAGCTGTTACAATCCTGGCATAGGTTTTATCTCTAGTGTCCAGTACCTTTTAGGTATGTGTGTTTTTGCAACATCAGCCCTCTCCTTGCCAGACTCTGAGCAGGGCCTGCCTCTTGCTCACAGCTTAACTTTGCTTTATGTTACAAAGTCTTGACCATTACTTTAGTTCAGGCCTTAGGCCTCATACCAGGCCTCTAATACAAGGGTTTATGTTTCAGGGCCTCATCTAACTACAGTAGTAATATCACAAAACGTCTAATAAGTTCTTGGAATATATTGTGGCCAACTTTGTTTCAGAAGGTGGAGGAAGTAACCAAGGGACTGACATTTTAGATTTAATTCTGCCCATGTCAAACTTTAACATATGCAAAGAATTGGTAGGTAAGATCCCATGGGAAGAAAATCTAAGAGATAAAGGAATTTAGGAGAGCTAGCAGTTTCTCAATGAGACAATATTAATGGCTCATCAAACTATCCCCAGGTGAAAGAGATAGGCAGAATAGGCCACCCTGGCTCCATCAGGAGGTATTTAGTGACCTGGAGATAAAGGAATCCTACAAGTCGTCAAAATATGGAGAAAGGCAAACAAGCTCTTTAGAAGGGGGGTAGGAGGAAAGAGGACCTAGGGAAGGATAGGCCAATCAGCCGAACTTTGATTCCTGGAAAGATACTGGAACATTACTAAACAATCAATTTGTAAGCACCTAGGGGGTAACAGGGTTCTAAGAAATAGCCAGAATGGATTTGTCAAGAACAAATCATGCCAAACCAACCTAATTTCTTTTTTGACAGGGTTACTGGCCTAGTGGGTGGGAGGAAGCAGTAAACATGAAACAATTTGGTTTTAGTAAGGCTTTTGACAGAGTCCAACATGACATTCTCATAAGCAAATGAGTGAAATGTGATCTAGATGAAATTACTATAATGTGGGTTTGCAACTGGTTGAAAGACTGTTCTCAAAGAAGAGTTATCAATAGTTTGCTGTCTGTCTGGGAGGATGGATCAAGTAGGGCTTTGCAGGGGCCTTTTCTGGGTCTGGTACAATTCAATATTTTCATTAATGATTTGGATAATGGTGCGAAGAGTACGCTTATAACATTTGTGAATGACACCAAACTGGGAGAAGTTGCTAATATTTTGGATTAAAATTCAAAGTTACCTTGACAAATTGGAGAACTGGTCTGAAATCAACAAGATGAAATTCAAGCAAGTGCAAAGTACTACATGTAGTAATAAAAAAAATTAAATGCACAGCTACAAAATGGGGAATAGTGGCTAGACAATAGTACTGGTGAAAATAATTGAGGGGGTATGGTGGATCACAAATTGAGTACGAGTCAATGTGATGCATTGCAAAAAAGACTAATATAATTCTGGAGTTTAACAGGAATGGTATATGTAAGACAGGAGGGAATTGTCCTGCTCTGCGCAGGACTGGTGAGGCCTGCACACCACACTTTAAGATGTGGGCAAATTGGAGAGAGTGCAGAGGAGAGCAACAAAAATGATAAAAGGTTTAGAAAACCTGACCTATGAGGAAAGGTTAATAAAACTAAACATCTTTAGTCTTGAGAAAAGGAGACTGAGAATATGTTGAGGGTTGTTATAAAGACAGTGATCAATTGTTCTCCATGTCTACTGATGGTAGGACAAGTAGTAATAGGTTTAATCTGCAGCAAAGGAGATTTAAGTTAGATATTGGGGGGGAATCAAAACATAAGGGTAGTTAGGCTCTGAAATCTCTATCACTAGAAGTTTATTCGTGCAGGTCAGACAAACACCTGTGAGGGATGATCTAGGTTTACTTGGCTCTGCCTCAGGCAGGGGGCTGGACTAGAGGACCTGTCGAGGTCCCTTCCAGCCCTACATTTGTAGGATACTATGAATTCACATTTGAAATGAAAATATTGATGCGTTTTTATAACTGGGCCACATACAGAGGGTCTCAGGGATTCTGCCTGGTCCTTACACAAGTGCATAGTGTGGGGAGAGCGTAAAAAGCCTTCCCCTCCTTGTGTGGATCACAAAGACAGGTAGAATTGCAGTACAGGGACCCCTAGATATCTCAGAGGATCTCCACCACTACCTCACCATACTCAATTTCATTGTGCTGGCAAGGGACAGCTCCATTCCACCTCAACGCAGGGTTGTGCCTAGCAGCGAGAGAGCCATTGTTACACCTTTTTCAGGTGGGAGGTGCACAGAAACTATGGCAATGCACGACAGCAAAGAACCTGCAGGCGTAGAAAAACAGAGGGTTACAATGAATAACTTGTGCACCTCTCCTGCTTTAGGAATTTCCCATGCCCTCCACAACTGATGCAGCTTATTTTTCACCTGGTCACCACACACCCACCACCTGCACCAAGGGGGATCCAACCTATTGTCTTACTGCCCCACAACCCATTACTGATAGAATGAATAAAGGCAGCTGGGTGATACAGGACCATCATTGAATGTCTGGCGGTATCACATACCACAGTAAAATTCTGACTCCCTTATCTGCTCCCAACACCCTCCTGCCAGCTCACCGGCAGATTTTCCTACCCAGCCCTGACTGACTCCCTCAGCCTAGTACTGGCAGAATTGGTCTGTGTGGTAGCTGATGCTGGGAGTTCATATGTACAAAACCGGAGTCCTTTTTATACAAGCTATTACAGGTACCACATTGATCAGGTAAGACAGAAATTCATCCCTGCAGTAACTTACTGTCAAGAGTTATTCCAGGAATGGACTGGATCCCTTTTTCCATTATTCAACATGCCAGCTACCAAACCCATTTATATTCCGTAAGTACACCTATTATTGGTGCTTTTATCTGCGACTC